CCTCGGGATCTAGGTTCCCCTCAGATGGAACCTCCCAATTTTCCGCCTCATCAACGCCGAGATCTTCCTCTAGCATGAAATCTAAAAAAAAAAAAATTATTAGTAGGGGGTGAGCACTAAACACTGTAGAAAAATCCTCACACTCTAACAAGGTTTGAAAAACGTAGAAAATGGTCGGTTTCATTTCACAAATAGCATACGTAAATTTTGAAAGAAAACATGACATTTTCAAAAGTCTCAAATTTATACATTAACAATAATTAAGTGCAAGAGTAAAGCCAATCCCACCATAAATAACCATTCGAAAGAATAATTATTCCCACCACAATTTTCAAAACTAAAATAAATTTACACTCGAAACACGAAAATTACTATTTTATTCCTCTGAACCGCTATATGTGCTAAAAGGCTATTCCAAGTTTTTTGGATCTCCCAGATTCAATGATAATATTATTTTGACCTAAAAAAAATTATATTTTTACTTAGTTATCCTTTTCAACCTTAAACACCTCCAAAAATTAAATTTCACCATTAATTTGCGTCCCTAGTATTTATTCATACTATTGAAATCTATAGGGTTCATGCATACCTCATCCCCTATATTAGCATTTCAAAATAATTACTTGCTATATAAAGATAAAGAGTGTTGGGGTTTACAGTTTATAGCCGGACATATTTATTCAATCTAAGAATTTAAAAATGCTAATGCTCCCTAGGCCCATTTGCATTCCAGGGATGGAGTCAAGATTTCTTCACAATTAAGACAACCACCAAATTGAAAAGAATAATCGAACCATAATCGTTGAAACTCGTCCAGTTTTGATAACAAAATTAATTAGGTCTTCAACAGTTAAATTTCATTACAATTTAAAAACTTCAATTTGAATTTGACTTTTACATTTATCTTTGAATGCAATTCAGTTATTTGAAAGATTTTTTTTTTTTTTTTCTACAATCCATTAAGTCAACAAATTAAATTAATATTTTAAGCCTATGTAGCATTGCACTAATGTAAATCTGTATCATGCATGTCTTAGTATTTGTCTTGACTACGATGAAAGGAAACACACAGTGCCATGAACATGTAACCTCACTGAAAAAGAAACAACAGTTGATCACATACCTCGTGTTGGTATCTACACTCAAAACCATGAGGTCCCGTGATGCCATATGAACCCATATTGACATTACGCTCCGTCAATGACGGTACAACCATATCAGAAATTCCGAGACGCTCAGGGAACGATGACATTGAAATGGATGGAACGATGTCATGAGGTTTTGGTGGCACCACATTAAGTATCCCATTATCGGAAAAGGGCGGTAAGCATTCTCCACTCCACATTGCAATACCTCCCCTGTTGTTTCCGCCGGGCATTGGATTAGGGAAAGCATAGAACTCATTGGAGAAGTATTGAGGAATGGAAGCCATTGCTGAAAAAGAAAAGCTTGACTTGTAGACTTTGTTGGTTACTGCCCATTTTAAGCCATTTGACTATTTATAGCTTGCACTGCGTTGCTTTGCAAGGAAAAAAAAAAAACAAAGTGAGACAAGATGGCTCGGATAGGATTCTACTCAAATTAGCAAAATTAAGCTCGTTTATATATAAAACTAATAATAAGCCGTGCCTAAAGGCACTTTGCAACTTAAAAAAATCCATCCATTAAAAATAAATTTTCATTTATTTACTTTAATTGAAGAAATTAAAATCAATCTATCTCGTTATTTTTTCAAAATATTTCAGCAAAATTTCTTCTACAGATAGGAGCCTAAAAATCTCAACCTGTGTACAGAACTTATATATCTCATTGTACGTATTATTGTCCAGCACAAACCATTACATAACCAATTTCAAAGAATAAATTAATCTAACTAACTCAAAGACAACATTATATTTTAGTCACTGCACAATCCAAACCAAAATAACAGTTCATAATAACAAAGGCCACAGACACATGTTGTACAGGCAGGTCCAACCAAAGATCCAAAAAATTCACAGCTCACAATCATACATAACGATCATTATAGTTCACAATCACGATTCAATTCTATCTTCAAAATTCATTCTCATTTCAATATCAACCCGTCCAAACAATCATGCAGAGACACTAAAAAACAAATCAAAACCAAAACCAAACAGGTAACATAAAGTCAACTGCTCTCATGTAAGCAAGGAGAACAAAACTGGTGGCTCATGGTTTCCTCAGCAAAACCAAGGCCTAAACTTGAAGTAATGAATGGTATGCACAACATGTCCCTTAACCTATTTTCATAATCCCCCTTCCATCCCCCAGGCCCCAAAAAAAATTGCATAATTTCAAATCCAAATACAGACTAATACACCCAAATCAAACTCCAAAGAATATTAGCATAAATTTAAATTTAAATCGCATCATATTTCCTATCAAGTCCAACCCATTAAAAATAGATCATAAACAAAAATCTCCTAAAAAAATTAGTAGATGTGTGCATTCGTACATTTAAAAAAATTATTAAACCTTTGTGGGTTAAAAAGGTAAATAAAGTTGGGTTTCAATAAATTAATGCTCAATTACCGTCAAAAGAAAAAATAAAGAATTAAAGATATACCACAACTTCCGGATTTCATTATAGGGGTTTGAGAAACTTTTTTTTTTCACACAGAAAGAGAAACCAATTAAATTAAAAAACATTAGAAAAATTGCAAAAGAAAAAATAAAAATTGTGTACAAACAATAAAAAATAAAAGAAAACATATTGGCTAATCAATTTTCTATCAAACCTGCCATCTTGAAATGGATACAAAACCTTCCATAACTTCGATACATAACTAAATTTGTTGAAAGCTTTAAACAACAAAGTAGTAAGGAAAACCAACCTTAGAAAGCCCTTCATGGTAATGTTACAGAGCATTCAATTCACCAAAAAATACACCAATAGATAATTTTATTCACTTAAAAATCCCAACTGGCAAGAAAATTGAACTAAGTGCAGCGGCAATGCATCATCCTCAATCCTCATTGGACTATAGGTTGTATCTACCAATAACAGAGCAGACAATGGTTGTAAACAACTCACTCCATCGGCCCTAAAAATGCATCATTAGAAACACATTCATCTAAACGAATAAGAACTATCATATCAACAACCTCAAGTCTAATAGAAAAACATCTCACAAACAAACTGAAAATCCAACATTCAGAAGCAAATGCATATATAAAAAGGAATATAAAGGCATTGTAAATGGAAGAACTAAAAACTAAATGAGATGCAGTATGTGTATTATACATAAGTCAGAGAGCGATGGGTAGCCTAAGATGTAGCAAAGCAACCTTCAGTAAACGTCATTGATCAATTCTTCGATCACCTACATGGATTAACATTCTCATTTATTATCAAAGTCAAGAAACTGAAAGGAAACAATAATTCAACACAAAAACCTCAACGACTTTAAAACTAAAAAAAAAAACTCAACTTTTGAAGCTTACAATAAATTGGAATTGCTATCATTGGTCACATGTGGCGTCATTGGTGGTGTGGGGGCGTGGCCGTTCATTTCGGTGTGGGTCGCTAGTTGAGGGAGGGGATTTTAGGGTGAGAGAGAGAGGTCGATGGCGGCGTCATGTGGATGCAAGAAGAGAATGGGGTGCAATGGAGAGAAAATAAGGGAATGGTGTGGGTATGCTGTGTTGTGTGCTTTATGTGAGTCGGGTTGTGTGTGTGTGTGTGTGTGTGTGTGCGTACTATTTGTGTGGGTGTGGAGGAAGAGGTGTGTTGTGTTGTAGAGAAAAGAAATAACAAAGAAAAGCAGAAAATCATGGAGATGAGAGAGAAAAGGGAGATGAGATCAGAGAGATGAGTACGAATGTTGGATAATGAACTCACCATCCTTTACCAGCAAAAAAAAATTGCTTAGGTTAAAAATATACAATCCTAATGTCTCCATTCTTGCGAGTCTTAGAGTGATTCCCCCATAGAAATGTCTCAAAGCTTTAGTTCCAGCACAATAACAACCAACACTAACCTCAACATGTACATATAAGAAGACATTATACAATTAAACAAAGCAAGCAGTATCTACCATTAAAGTTGCATCCAATTCACACAGCAGAAAAAAAAAATAACAAAAAAGGGATAACTTGAAGAATAACGGTGAACTTTTTATAAAGCCTTAATGTCTACATATTGGTCAATGTTAGTTGATTTGATCTAATAAACTCCACTACAATATGCGATAAGAATAATGAGAACAAACAGACAGTTATAGAAATGAAGTTTTTAAACATCCAATAAAATTGAATGATCAATTTAAATGAAATTTGAAAATTCATGGAACACAACAAAGCACAATCAGAGCAAAAAACATAGAGAGGGCAAACACCATGTTATATTAATCAGATAAAGAAGACAAATCACTGTATCAGATTCACAGTTAGAGTATCAAACACCCAAATTTCCAAATCACCCTTTTTTTGCTCAAATTATCGAAAACATTCACATTATGCAAAAAAAAAAACCCAAATTATGAAAACACAAAAAATAATCAAAATACCCAAATGTGAGTGTGTGTTGTGTGTTCGACTGTGTGCGCTGTGAGTATGGTGTTGTGTATGTGAATGTGTGTGTCTACAAACATGACCCTAATAAAACAGTTGCAATGCTTACAAAAGTAAATACTATTGGACCATATCAATTAACAAAGTTAACATTACTCTCAGTAAGATTAACAGTTTAGTATAACTCCTTTTAATTGTAGTTCTGGTATATCATTTGTTATACGGCAACTGTTCTTTTTGGGAAGCTTATCATGGATTGTGTTCTAAAGAAACACATAAATTTGAATACTTGCTTTTGAATTCGTACTGGAATCTAGTTCAGGAGGAATCTTGTAGAAGGGACCAACTTTCTTCTTTATGTTACTTGCTATACAATTGCAACCAATTAGATATACTATTCCTCTAACTCAAGGGTTTAGGGTTTAGGGTTTCGGGTTTAAGGGTTTAGGAGGCAATTTTTATTTCTAGTGAGAGAAGCTCTCACTTCTCACTACCTTTACTCTTTGCTTTGGCTTTTTTTTTCGGTAGATCTGTGCATTTATTATGGATTCAACCCATCTTTTGAACCAAATTCCACCAAAGCCTCCTGATTTTCCTTGTATTCCCACCACATCCACAAAGAATTCTTTGAATCTCCCACCCAAACCACCAGACATTACCAAGAACTTCGCGTCACTATTCACAAAACCGTCGAACGACGACATTCTCCAAAATAGTCCAGCTGCATCGGCGAATCTGTTTTCTTTATGGATCCTTTGCGTTACAATAACACCAACCCTATGCCTCCCTTCCCTCAAGTTCGTCATCACCAACTGACTGCTCAGCTCCCACCAGCATCATCCTTTCCTCCGAACAACCACATCCCTTCGCCTGAGTTAGGGATCCACACTCCTAATGCCCTTACAAATATTCAGATCACTCATGGGGTCAATGCGAATCCCCGATCATCGTTGAACCTCCATATCTAGTCGTCTCCTAAAGACCCTTCGGCTGACCGTATTCTGCTACAATCACATTTTCCTTTGGCTGAACAAGGAAACCATCCTCCAGTTCCTGTATTGAATGCCCAGAATGACCAAGGAGCCCAGAGTTCCCCTACCAGCATCACCTTTGGTTCCTTTATGTCTGCGAATGCCTCAAAGCCTGCTAAAAGAGTGGTCTTCAACAAAGGGGAACCAGGCATGTACTAGTCACCAGACAAAACTCAGGAGCTTTCTAAAGGTTTTTCTCTCTCCCTGATAGGCAAGTGTGTCTATGGTAAGCCTTCACTGGGAGTGGTGAAGGAATTCATAAATTCAAGGTGGCTATTAAAAGGGGATTTTACCGTAGGAGTTTTGGATCCCAGGCATATACTCATTCGGTTTTCTCTCTACGAAGATTATGTTAAAGTTTGGCTAAAGGACACCACCTACATTGAAGGCTTTCTATTTAGATTTTTCAAATGGTTCCCAGAATTGAACCCCCATTGGTTCCTGTTTGGATCTCTCTACCTGGCCTACCTATCCATCTTTTTAACAGAGAGAGCTTAAGAGACATATTAAGCCCCATTGGTAGAATCTTGGTTATTGACAATGCCACTTTGAATCTTTCTAGGCCTGGGGTAGCTAGGGCCTGTGTGGAGATGAATCTTCTGGTTAGCAATCCCAAACGTTTCTGGCTTGATATGGGAGGTATGAGTGCTAGGTGGCAGAAGATAGTATATGAGAAGGAATTCAAATATTGCCCTGCTTGCCTCAAGCAGGGTCACGATGATTCTTTATGCCGTAAAAAGAAGAAGGAAGAGGTGGTGGTTACTTCTGAACAGAAGCCTGATCAATATAATGGCCTTGCCCCTTGGAAATGGATGGAAGAACAGGAAAGGGAAAGCAATTGCTGTTGATGTACAGAAGGAAAAGCCTAGAAAGGAATACAGACAAAAAACAGGGATTTAAGGCCCAGTGATTGGAAATAGATTTGATATCTTGAATGAAACCACAGATCCTGTAGAGGTGAATCATAATATTGAGAGGGAAGAACATACCCAGAAGGAACAGGAAGTTGCAAAAACCTCTACCAATTTGAACAAGCAAAAGGTGAATGACAGAGGAGAAAATCAGGAGACAGACTGCTATACACCAGCACTTGATAGAGGTGATCATCATGATTTGGAAGGGTAGAATGATGAGGTTGGGAATTCTAAAGAGGCTCAGGGGACAGAATCTATACCAGATACTACTGGATCAAATAAAGAAAAGGATGATATGGAGAGTGGCTCAGAAACACTTGTCAACCCCTAGTGATGAGGGGAATAGTTTGGAGGAATGCTTTCTTTCCTCTCCTGTTGCTATTGTTAATGCAGTTGATAATAATATTGGAGTGGAGGATGCTAATTTCGAGAAGATTGGTGGGGTTTTTATTTCTAGTGAAGATACGAATGATTTGGAGGGGAATGAGGCTCCTAAAGAACATCTAGGAGAGTGTTATGCTCTCTATGCCCCCTCTTTAAACTCTTCCTTCTTACTGGAACATGATTATTGTACAAGGGGAGAATGTGGAGGTATATTTGATGATCAGATGGGATTGATTAGTGAGAGAGCTCCACCAGATAAAGGGTACTTTTCAAATCAGGCGAGCTCTAAGAGCCAGAAAATCACATCAGAAGACTCCGAAGCTATTGATAGCTCTTCAACATAGAAGATGAATCCAATGGAGTAAATTCCAGTGGGGGGTACCATTCTATATCCTCATGATAAATATTTTTTCGTGGAATATGAGGGGAGCAGAAAAAGCTGCCAAAAGGAGGAGGCTAAAGAAACTTATTAGAATTCATGATATTTGTTTCGTGGCTATACAAGAACCTAAGCTGTTGGTTACTAAGCTCAATCTCTTTGGTAGCAGTATAGGGTTGAACCATTTCTCATTCAACCCTCTAGCAAAGAGGAATATTTGGCTACTGTGGGATGATAGAATAAATGTAAGGGTGTTGTTTGCTCATGAACAGGTTTTGACTGTGGAGATAACTTTTATGAAGAATGCTGTATTCTGGGTTTTTGTGGTGTATGCTAGTTGTAATCAAACTATCAAAAGAGCACTTTGGGAACACTTACTGGAGATTAATATCCCTGCCAACACTCCTTGGTTAGTGGTTGGGGATTTCAATTCTATTTTATGCTCAGAGGAAAGAAAAGGAGGCGCTCCTCCTTCTATGGCATCTATGGAGGATTTTGGGAACTTCATAGACCAGAGAGGCCTGATGGATGCTGGTTTTAGTGGGAACAAATACACATGGTTTGACAACAGGCAGGGCCACGTTAGAATGATGCAAAGAATTGATAGAGCTTTGGTTAATGTGAGCTGGAATATGAGGTTTGACAGCATGGAGGTTGTTCATTGGGCCAGAGGTGCATCTGATCATAGCCCTTTGTTTCTCAACATCAAAGACAGTCCAAATCAAAGAAGAGTCTCATACTTTAGATTCCAAGATATGTGGTGTGATCATGAGGGTTTTAGAGCTCTTATTAAGGAGAAATGGGGTGGTTTTTACTCTGACAATCCTATGGCAAATTTGTTTATCAAGTTGAAATACTTAAAAGCCCATATTAAGTTGTGGAATAAGGAAGTCTTTGGAGATCTATTTGATAACATTGAAGCCCAAGAACAGAAAATCAAGACTGTTGAAATGGAATTGGATCAGAATTACAGTGCTGCTAAATCCTTAGAGCTTGACAGATTTAAAAGTGATCGGGATAATTGGCTCAGGAGGGAGGAAATTTATTGGAAGCAAAAATCCAATCTCAAATGGGCCTTAGAAGGGGAAAGAAATACCAAGTTTTATCATGCCTTATCTAAAAGTAAGAAGACGAGGAACAAAGTTTCTAGAATTCAGAATAAGGAGGGTACTTGGGTTCAAGGTGATCAGAATATTGCTGAGGTTGCTGAGGAATTCTTCTCTGATTTTTGATGTGATTCCCAATCTGGTGAGTCATGAGGATAATCAGAAATTGATTACTGAGGCTTCTATGGAAGAAATAAAAGATGTAGTTTTCTCTATGGCCATTGAGAGTGCTCCTAGTCCTGACGGCCTCTCAGGTAAATTCTTTCAATTTGCTTGGGAAACTATTAAGAGTGATGTATGGTTAGCCGTGAATTTTCTCTTGAAAGGCGGAGATATGCCTAAACCTGTCAACTCTACTTTGTTGGTTTTAATCCCAAAGAAGGATGCACCTGTTTCTTTCTGTGATTTTAGACCTATTAGTCTGTGTAATTTCCTTTATAAGATTTTCACTAAGCTTCTCACTACAAGGCTTTCTTCTATGCTACCTTCCCTAATCTCTGAGGAACAGCATGGTTTTGTTCAAGGAAGAGGGATAGGGGACTGTGTGGGCACTGGGGCAATTATTGGTAGGTGACTTGGACAGGAAAGTGGAGGGGGGCAACTTGGTTATGAAATTGGATATGATGAAAGCCTATGATAGGCTTGAGTGGGACTTTTTATTGCAAGTGTTGAAGCACTTTGGTTTCTCCAATATGTTTACTCAGATTATTCTCAATTGCTTGAAGACTCAGCACTTTTCTATCTGTTTAAATGGGCAAAGATATGGCTACTTCTCCAACTCAAGAGGTCTAAGACAAGGAGACCCCCTTTCTCCTTCTTTATTCATTCTGGCACAGGAGGTTCTTAGCAGAGGGTTAAGGTGGGTTTATCAACAAAAGTTAGTTTCCCATTATCATATTGGTAGAGGCACCACTGTGGTTAGTCACCTTCCCTTTGCTGATGACACTTTGCTCTTTATGAGGGGTACTAAAAAATCTGTGCGCAATACTTTGAAGTTCATTGGTATGTATGAATCTTGTTCTGGTCAAAAAGTGAATAAATCTAAAACTGCCATGTATTGCTCTAAAAGAATCTCAGGGGCAAGGAGGTATGTCTTATCATCTTTAATGGGGATTCCTATAAGTTGTCCCTTCTCTTATTTGGGATGCCCCATTATCAGAGGAAGAGTGAAACTTAGCTACTTTGAGGAGATTTTGAAGACTTTCAGATGTAGAATTGAAGGTTGGTATGCCACGATGCTCTCTGGAATGGGAAGGATTATTCTTGTGCAATTTGTCTTAAGTGCTATTCCAATCCATATGCTGGCTTGTTTGAACGTCCCAAAAGGAATTTTAAAGGAGCTGAATTCCTTTATAGCTGGTTTTATCTGGTCTAGTAAGCTTGATGCTAGAAGAAGACATTGGGTATCTTTAGATAATATCTCTAAGCCTAAATGTGAAGGTGGTTTAGGTATTAGATGTTTTGGGGAAATTCAAGATGCATTTAGAGTTAAGCAGGTTTGGGGTATCCTTAATGGGTAGTCACTATGGGCAAAGGTCTTTAAAGAAAAATATCTTAAGGGAAGGCATTTGCTGAGATGCAGTAACAGTGGTACAGGTATGAGTTTCAACATTTTGAAACCATGGTTTGATTTTGTGGTGACAAACTCTAAGGTTTTGCTGGGGAATGGTCAGTGTACTGACTTCTGGTGTGATTCATGGATGGAGAATGGACCTTTGCTGTACAAAATTGAAGGTCCTCCCTCTTTCTTTCCCAAGGTCAAAGATTTATGGTATGATGGTGGCTGGCATTTTGAAAGCATTGAGGAATGGCTGACACCTCATTTGCAAGAGGAGATTAGAAGTTCTGGTGCTTTGGTGCCAGAGAAAGCTGATAAAAGAGTGTGGGAGTGTACTAATTCTGGGAACTTCACTACCAAATCTGCATGGAATCAGATTAGGAGGACCAGGGTACACAATGTCATTGCACAAAAGATTTGGAATCAGAAAGTGC